AGATGTGGGGCTGGAGCTGGTCCCCAAAGACAAACATTCTTTAAAGAGCTAAGAGAAAATCCAAAAGACTCTGCAAGTGTGTTTGTTGTGTACCATCGAGTCAGAGCTGACTCACCTCTGACCCACCAGTGGGTTTTCAGAGACTGTCAATCACATGGGAGGAGAATGCTCATCTTTCTCCCACAGAGCAGCTGGTGGATTAGAACTGCCTGCCTTTGGGTTGACAGCACAGGTCTTTAGGATATCTAGGATACCAGGTCTCCCTGCATGGGTGGTAATGGCATTAAAAATAAGCGAGAGAGCATGCTAAGTTTTTGTGATTTAAGTGAAGATCTACAAAGCATATTGTTTTGTTTTTCAAACAATCATTCATACACATTCTCTTCCCCAAGACCAATCACAACACATGCCATGTCCTTCCTTTCCCCCTCCCACTTCTTTCCCCCCTCAACCCTGTAGCCACACTAGATTGACTCTCTCTGCATGCAAAACCTTTCTCGAGACTTTTCACATAGTGGCCTTATACTGTAATTGTCCAATTGTGATGAATATATTTCACCCGACATAATTGGCCTAGTGGTAAGAAGCTGCGTTGCAATCCTGAAGGCACATAGTTCAAATCCACCAGCTGCTCCATGGAAGAAAGATGGGCATTCTCCTGGTGTGTGATTTACTGCCTCTTAAAACCCCCTGGAGGGTCAGCTCTGAGTTGGTTCTGACTTGATGGTATACAACCACCAACAACATCCTCTAGACTCATCCATGTTGTGTAATGTTTCACAATTCTTCATTGTTGCATAGTACTCCAATGTGTGACTGTACTACCATTGTTGTTAAGTACCATCAATTCAGAACTGATGCTCGCGCGTGTGGGCTTTTGTGTGTGTGTGTGTGTGCGTGTACCATCAAATCAGATCTGACTGGTACAGGAGGAGATTGTTCCTCCTTCTCCAGCAGAGCATCTGGTGTATTCGAACCATGCACCTCTTGGATTGCAGAGCAGCTTCTTGCCACTAGGCCACCAGAGCTCACCTGGTGTGGGTTTTCAGAGGCAGTAAAGTCACTTGGGAGGAGATTGTCCCACCCTTCTCTCATGGAGCAGCTGCTGGATTCAAACTAGTTACCTCTGCATTGGCAGTGCAATCCTTACCACTCACTCACTAAGCCATCAAGCACTTCCAAATGTACCAGAGTTTCTCTACCTATTCATTTGTTGTTGGCCACGTGGATTGCTTCCCTCTCTTAACTTTTGTAAATAATGAATGCTAACATCAACTTAGGTGTGCATACAACGGCTTGCATTACAGATGCGGGTGGAGGGAAAGCTCCTGACAGAGAAAGAGGAATCAGGCGCTCAACACAAGGATTCCTGCAAAGGGTACTTTAAAGTGCTTCTCCTCACCTCACAGTAGTAGTGCTGGGATAATCGAGTGTTGTTAGCAGTGCCTTCTCTGAAAGGGAGAGAAAGGAGGACAGAGGCTCAGGCAGGGCAGAGATGTGAGGACGGTGAAGGTTAACACAAGACTCAGATCTGTTCTTCACAGGGTCGCTATGAGTTACAGTCTGCTTGATGGCACATAACAACAAAGAGGTACCAGAGGGTGTGGCGAGCTGTATTAAAGTTCTACCAGGACAGATTTTGGGTGGTTGGGGCCCCCTTTTGTGGCACCAGTAAAGGAAGTGGGATAACCAGCCTCCAGTTACACGGAGAGCTTCCCCATGGAGAGGAAACCGCTAGGAGGACTAAGAGGCTGTACACAAAAGCAGGGGTTACCATGTAAAAGCAAGGTCAGGGGTGGAGTGGGCCTTCAAGAAAGAGCAGATGAATGGGCAAGAATTTGGAGGAAGACACAAGTGCAAGCAGAAGAAAGGGGCATAAACTTGAGCAATTTCCCCAGCGAGCGACTCAAGTCGCTCCATAAGAAAAACTAGAAAATTCACTGCAGTCAATTCAGAACTGACAGCTGACGCTCTGGCAAGTTTCTGCGGCTGTGAGTCGCACAGGAAGAGACTGCCTATCTTCTTCCCACGGAGCGGCAGATGGATTTGAACCTCCAGAGAGGCAAGGCCTTTGGGGCTAGCAGTGCGACTCCCCACGGATCGTTATTGATACATAGGGTAGAGTCAGAACCAGCTCATAGCTGTCTCTCCAAGAGGTTTTCAGAAACTGCAAAATCACACCTGAGGAGACTGACCATCCAATTGGTAGATTCAAACCACATGCCTTTGAGTTGGCAGCATGACTTCTTATCTCTAAGCCACCAGAGCTCCTGTGGCAGAGCCTGGAATAGATCTGATGCGTGGTTTCTGGGGGCCCTGTGGCCCCAGGGTTGGAGAGGAAGCACTGCAGTGTTCTGCAGAGCGACCACGTCTTCCTGCCATCCCGTGGGTTCTGCCACATGCTCAGAGCATCCCACGCCCCCACGGCTCAAGAGCCGAAGCAGTCCGCTCTCGTTGGATGGGGGGCACTGCAGCTTCGCCTGGGTGGTGGCGATCGCCCTCCCCCAGCTCTCCCGCCCGGGGAGTGATTCTGCAGAAGCTGCATCACCAGCCGCAGTGCCTCTGCCTCAGCGGCAAACAGCTTCCCTTGCACCTCGGAAGGAAGTGTTAATGAGGAATGTGGTGAGGAAGGGCTGGGCCGCCTGCGGTTGTAACAGTTTGCTCCTTTTGGCTCCCGGGGGCTGAGGAACCTATACACAGAGCAAGCCGCCTTGTGCAGTAAGATGGTCAGTGCTGCTCGGAAACACACGCAGCTTGGTACCAGTCAGTGTACAGTGTGTCCAAAGCGGATGCCCTTACAGGCGTGCAGCTGTCCAGGGTCCTGCCCCAGAGGCCAAGCCTGGCCCGAGGGCTGAAGAAACATGGGGCCTGAGGTCTGCCTCTCCCTAGCCAAGCCCACCCTTCTAGGGATCTATCTCACTGTAGCACACAGGCTCAAAGCCAGCCCCTTCCTATTTCTCTTCAGGGAGGGAGAACAAAACAAAAAATAGAAACACTTCATTGCTGTTGACTCAGAACTGACTCATAGCTGCCACTGAGTCAGAACCCCCATTGTGGGCCTCTAAAGGCTTTGGACAAGAGAAGATCACCCATCTCCTCCCCAAGAAGTGGCTGGTGGATTCGAACTGCCAGGGAGGTAGAGCCTTTGGGTTAGAGGTGCTCCTCCCTACAGGCAGCTGTCGTTAGGTGCCCTCAAGTCGACTACAATCATATGAACAACACATATGAACAACCCTGCCCTATCTGTACCATCCTCACCGTCTCTGATATGCCCCAGCCCTAGGCCTGTGAACATGTTGGTGAGTGCTGTAGAAGCTGTTGTTGTTGTTTATTGTTGAATTGACTATGACTCCCAGCAACCCTCTGAATAACAGATCTGAACGCTCCCCTATGCTGCAGCATCCACATGATCTCTGCCTGTTATCAGATTAATGCTTCCTCCTGTTAACCTCGTGTATGCAGAGCAGAACTGCGTGCTAGGGCGTTCAGTGGCTGAGGTCTTTCCAGCACAATCCATTACACACCTATCTGCTAAAGTGTCTCTGGGAAAATTAGAACCACCAAGCTTACAGCTGATAAAGATTTAAATGTTTGCACCACTCCAGGATTTTAGAGACCCAGTCATAGCCTGACGCTGGCTCAGACTCCCGCAGCACGTGGGCCAAGGAGGCTCTGGTTACTCAAGGGTTACAGCAGAACCGGGGGCTGAGTTCCTGGAGCAGGTTTGGGCCTCAGGATGCCTGGGAGCCCCTTCCCACCAGCCCCTAGCTTTGTGCTCAGGGAAGTTGAGCCAGGCACTTCCCCTTCCAGCAGGCCTGCTACTCTAACACACAGCAGTCAGGAGACACCTCACCCACTGCAACCCCACTGAAAAGGGTCTTGAAATCTTCATACAGGGATACGCTTGGTTCATAACGATTATACAATGGGCTTGGCAGACAGTGACTACAACAGGAAGCTTGAGCACGGTGAAGAAGGTATAGGATAGAACATAGGGTTGTTTGTGGGACTGTTGTGTGTTGTAGTCGACTCAACGGCACCTAACAACGACATTCACTGAATACTCCACGGCCTAGGGTAAGAGCACACCAATTAAGCTTTCAGACTCTGCTCCTCCCTACATCACCCATCGGGGGAGGTGGGACATTGGGGCCAGGCTTGAGTTTAGACTAAGCTCCTGTACAGACTCCACTGTCCCATCAAGCTTTCCCAATAGCACACACTTACTCAAAGACAACAAAGAGAATTAGGAGACGGGACCACAGAGAACTAAACCCCAAGTTCTAGGCCCTTCTGAGGCTGGATGTTGGCCTTGCCTACTAACTGAAAGGATAGCTGTTCAAGTACATCCACTGCTCTGCATGAGAAAGCAGCAGCATCCAGTTTACAGAGTTACAGAAAGTCTAAGAAACAATTCCTATTCTGTCCTATAGGGTCACTCTGAGCTGTAATCTTTCTTTTTTTCTTGTTGTGTGTATAGTTGAATCAGATCCGATTGGCACAGGAGGAGATTGCCCCTCCTTCTCCAGTGGAGCATCTGGTGGATTTGAACCGCTCACCTTGGAGACTGCAGTTCAACCTTTTGGCCCCTAGGCCACTAGAGCTCCCTTGGATGGTAGTGTTTTTTATGCCTATGTCCTGTGCACATAAGAAAGATGTCAAAATCTCATTAAACAATCTAAGTGCAGGTACGAAAGCGAAATAAGAGAAACTGATATTAAAGAAACTTAAGTCATTCAATCCCTCAGCCAAGAATGTCACTCTTTTCTCACCTGAGGCGAATGTCTTTTTCCCCTCTTTCTCACAGACAGCAAGACAAACCAGATGCAGAAAGGATCCTTTCTAACATCAATTTGGGTTTTATTTCAATATTAACACTTTCTAATGCCACTAGCCACTCAAAAGCCGTTTCCTGAAGGAAGAACAGTTAGTACATTGAAGAGGCACACGCGACCAGTTTCATTTACCCAGGTAACGAGCACGGTGATGTGGCTCGTCATTTATGTAAAAAACTTCCTGTTGGCATTAGCTCCGAACAAGGCCTTCCGTATCTCGGGCATCCTGTGCTGGGCCAGGATGTCCAGGCGGCCTTCCAAGGTATTGGAAACCATGACTCTGTGATCAAAGCTGTAGGCTTCCAAGCCACCAGCTAAGTTTGCGGGCAGGAAGACCTCTTGGTCAATGTGGACCACCACAGCTTTGCAGGAGACCTCCGTGTACCGGGGGATGACCTTCTGCAGGGCAGTCTCCATGAAGAGGGTGTCCTGCGGCCTGCACCTCACCAGCACCCGGGGCTCCAGCAGCCTGAACAAGCTCTGGAGCAGGAGTTTTTCCAGGAGCTCTTGGTAGATGGTGGGGTCCTCCACGATGTTGCTCAGTCTCTGCCTGGCCTCGGTGAGCAAGTCCACCACCAGGTCGTCCCGGGCTCTGAGGACTTCCAGCCTCGCCTGGTTTTTCACGGTGGACAGCTGGATCTTTTTCTGCTGCTCGATCTGCTTCTCCTTCTTCTCGTAGTACTCCATGATCTGCAGCCGCTGGGTCTGCACCAGGCGGCCCTTCTCGATGTTGAACTCCTCGTCGGCCTTCGCGTCGATCTCTTCGGTCTTCTCATTGGCCTCCTGCTCGATGAAAGCCATCATGTGCTTGATCTGCTTCTGCACGTCCATGCCGTTCAGAGCCATGGCGGCTCAGGGAAAGGACACAGAGAGCTGGCCGACCCGCTGGGACTGAGGGTAGAGTTCAAGGAGGATTCCTGGAGTCTTCCTTCCTTGGCTGTGCAGCTCAGAAAGGGGAGGGAGGAGTCTGTGAGCACCTGAAGAGAAGGGACAAAGACATCGTCCATGCACCTCTCATTCACAGAGGAGGAGAGTGAGGCACAAAAAGGGAGAGAAATCTGCTTGTCCAGGCCACCTCCTAGCAGAGCAGACTTGAACCCAGGTCTCTGGTGTTTTATCTCTGCTACACACACTGTCTTTTTTATCCTCAAATAATCAGGAAGTAGGGAGCTCTGGTAGCTTTGTGGTAAGGACCTTTTCTGGCAACCCAAAGACATGTGGTTTGGATCGACCAGCTTCTCCAAAAGAGAAAGATAGCCCGTCTCCTCACATGTGATTTACTGCCTCTGAAAACCCACTGGAGGGTCAGCTACGCGTTAGTTCCTATTCAACATTACATAACACAACAAGAAGTTAAGGCAGACCTAGCACTAAAGGTGTCTACTCAGGGATGGCCCCAGTTATCAAGGAAACACACTAGAAAAGCCAAATTAATGCATAAATGGAAGGACTGAGGAGAGTCTTAAGAAATGAATGATCTTAAAAAAAAAGAAATGAAAGATCAGACTGGATTCAATCCATGAAGGCTTCCTAGAGGTGGAGGATTTCAAAAGCACATAAAAGACTAAAGGAGACAGAGTACTGGTGGGCACATGTTTTTTGTGTCATTGGAACCAACTCATAGCGAACCCTCCAGAGGGTTTTCAGAGGCTGTAAATCACTCAGGAGGAGACTGCCTGTCTTTCTCCCAGGGAGCAACTTGTGGATCCCAAATTGCCTGGCTTTGTGTTGGCAGCACAACTCATTATTACCCATTAGGCCACCAGAACTCCTGTTAGACAGACAAGGTCTTGGAAACGAACAAAAACAAACAAACAAAGAAGAATAACAACAACAAACAAACAAGCAAACAAACTCCAAGAGACGGTCTTCTTACTGGGCGGCAGTTTCCAAACCTAGATGGACAGCTGAACCACCAGGGGGATTTTTAAGAAATATGGATCTCCCAGTTTCATTCTAGGCTGGGATCTGAATATTAAAAAGGGTGCCAGCTAACCCTGCTAGTCCCCAGCTTTGGAACTCATTGTCAGTACAAGTAAAGTGTGTGTGGGTGGCAGCGAGGCCCAGGGTAGGTGTGGGCAGGGGGAATCCTACCAGAACAGCCCTCACCAGTCTCCACCAAGGAGTCCTCATGGAACGTGGAATTTGGAACACGCATTGGAACCTGGCTCTACACAGCCCTTCTTCGGACAGATGACCCTCACACAGCCTGACCAGGCAGTTTGAGTCCAAAGCGCCAGGCTGTCACTGCGGCAGGCCAGCCAAGGCCGTCGGCAGGAGGCCACGAGGGCTTTCCTCAGAAAGCCTGTTGCCCAAGGGCTGACCCTCCCTCGGAATCTCAATTAAGTTGGCTCCTGGTGGGCTTCAGTCTGGGGTGGGCTTCTTAGGACTACATCCTCAGAGAGGGATCCAAGTGTGGACTCCGGCTGTTAGCCTATTCATTTACTAATGAAAACTACAGCTGTCATGCTGGCGAGTTGGGCCTTTTGTCCCGGTTTGCCTGGTCACAAGGGAGGCCAAATCTAAAGGTTGCTAATTGAGAAGCCAGAGGAGGCAAGATTCACCAGATGGTTTTTAGGAAGGGCCGCTGGGCTCTGTCCCAAGGCAGGGCCTACTCTCCTCCTGCAAAGAGGGCTCACGGACAGGGCCACCTCCCCTGGTGTGGGCCCTGGGCTCACACTGCTGGGATGCAGGAGCTTGCTCTGTGGCTTCCCATTTGCGTAAATCCGACAAAGCAGCTCATATCACGAAGCCTCAGTTTCCCCATCTGTGAACTGGGATTAATAATAGCATTCACAGTACAGGACACTAGTGAGAACTGAAGGAAAGATGGAATGCTTAATGCACTGAGAGGGATGCTTGGCACTACCACTATTACTACTATTACTGTTCTAATCATCATCTCTTTGTCTTAGATTCAGGCTTTGTTCTTCATCACAGTCACTCTCTTCTTGTGCCCAAAGAGAAGATGATTTTTGTTTCATCTTGAGTGGAGGAGCTCTGGTGGCCTGGTGGGTAAGGAGCTGCAGTGCCAAACCAAAGGCAAGAGGTTCGAATCCACCTGCAGCTCTGTGAGAGAAAGATGGGCAGTCTCCTGTCAAATGACTCACAGCCCCTGAAAACCTGCTGGAGGCTCAGCTAATGAAAGCACACTCCAGCCTTGCACTTAGTAACCCTGAGGACTCTTGGCTTCTCATGATATGTTGTCAAGTGGCTGGTACAACTAGTGGCATTCTGGATTTCCTGGGCTCTTAGGCTTGGGGTGGGGTTGTCAGGAATCTCACAGCCTGTCGCTATCCCTGAAACCGCAGTTCCGAGTTCTCATCGCCCTCTCTACAGACACCCCCCCTCATACTCCCTTCCTCCCACTCCTGTATCTCAACAGCTTATTAGTTGCAGACGTGAAAGCAGCTGCAGGGTGGGGTAGGGCTGCGCTCCGGAACTGAGGGCGCGTCTGCAGGAATGCGGTACCCGTGTAATGTGTCTGACAGATGTGACTTCCAGTCCGTCTGGGATGGGGATTAGGCGCACACATGCATTTATGAGTTGAGTAAAAAACAAAGAAGGCAAAATAAGAAATGCAGCCCGCATGTGTCTGATTCCGTAAGACGGTGGAGATTCCTCCACCCAGATAAGGCAGGTGGAGCCTCAAGCCGCAGCCACACAGCCTGTGTTTGGGGCTGGGGGTCAGCTCTGCGTCCCATGAACTCCTGCCACCCCCACTGCCACTTGGATCTGAGCATCTCAGGCTCAGGCCCAACAAACATCTTCTACACATACTCTTCTTGCTAAAGTGCCTTCCACTGCTCCGTAGTTTCCACGCAGCTGACCAGGCCCACTGGAAGCCCCACTACCTCCTTAACCTCGCATGGAGTGTTGTACACGCTGTTAAGCTGATCCTCCAGCAGGTTTTCAGCAGGCGGTAAAGAGCACAGGATGGGATTGCACAACTTTGTCCTGTGAAGCAGCTGGTAGGTAGATTCGAACTGCCTGCCTTTGAGTTGGCAGCTCAGCTCCTTACAAAAGAATCTTATTTTCTACCTTTCAAAAAATTCAATCACTGTTGCATACTTCCCCCTCCCTTTCTTCCCCCTTAGTCCACTTTACAACACACCTCTTGTTCCAGATTGTTGCCATACATATAATGCCTAATCATATCCTCCTTTCAGACAGTTCTTCCTCTCATCTAATTGAATGCAGTGTTCAATATCTATTCAATATTCGATTCTCTTTGTCAACACCACAACACGAAGGCTTCAACTCTACCTCAGTCACCTGGGACAGATAGAACGTGCCATTGAAAGAGAGGAAGGCCCTCAACAAGATGAATTCTTCAGTGACTGAAACAATCGAGAATGGCAGCGCTGGTGAAGATGGTGCAGGAGAGGACAAGGTTCTGATCTGTTACTCACAGGGAGCGGTGGTCACATAGTCCGTGGAGCTACATTGCTCACTGAGACACCTTCCCAGCAGCCCCACGGGAGGAAAATGGGCTACTTCCTCCCATGTGATTTACAGCCTCTGAAAATCCCCTAAGAGGGTCAGCTACAAGTCGATTCTGACTCAACAGCAATGACTGATAAAAAAACCCCCCACAGCCATAACCAGAAAAGTACTAAGACCATAAATCAGTGATTTGATGAATTACTGGGAGGCAAATACCCTCCTCACCAGTTTCCAGATTAAGAAACAGCATTGCTGGCATCTTCAAGCTCTCCGTCACCTTGAGGAAGAAGATATTTCGGAACTGAAGGCTGTGTGTGTGGGCCCAGCGATCCTGAGAGAAAATGTGCGGTGGGCGGTCCCTCCCAAGCCCTTGGTGAGCCTGTGGCATGGACCAGCCTCCGGGCACAACATCCCCGTGGAATCTACACACCCTGAGGAGGAGTGCTTGGTGGGCACGGTCCATCTGTCAGCTTGGAGCCCTGCCCAGATCCAAAGCAACTGTTCCACATCCGGCTGGGATTTGTACACAAGCCTGCTGTCAGTCAAGCCTGGGTGTGGGCTCCTGTCATCCTCCACTCATGCGATCTGAGACCATTGTGACCCACTGGCTGATTTAGGAAGTGAATCCCCAGGCCTTTCCCCTTAGAATCTGGAAACTCCGCGGATGTTTGTTCAGGGTCATGCATGGCATCACTGACAGCTGAGTGGTGGCTGAACATGAGGTGGGCTGACCAAGAGTCAGAGCTCAGGCTCCCTGAATTGAAAGTGGTGAGAATTTTCTATCCTTGAACATCCACCCTTTGTCCCCACGAACTTCACATCCTCACCCCAAAGGGAAGGGAGCTCTGTTGGCCTCATGGTAAGAAGCTGCACTGCTGTAACAAAGGCACACAGTTCAAATCCACCAATTGCTCTGCTGGAAAAAGATGGGCAGTCTCCTCCTGTGTGATTTACTGCCTCTGAAAACCTGCTGGGGTGTCAGCTATGAGTGAGTTCTGACTCGATGACACACAATAACTAACCCAAAAGGAAGTGACATCAACTTTGGGCCTCTGGATTCAGAGAAATCTCAGAGTGAGGAAAAGAAGGAACTTCCCAGGGTTGACCCATCAAATGGGAGAAGGCAGGGCCATCTACTTCCCTAACACTTTACAGCCGTGGAAGCCCAACGGAAGGCCAGCATGAGTGGGGCTGGGTTTTGGATCCCATGATATGCCTGGTACTGCAACCACTTTGTATACTAGAGACATGAGATCGATGTTGCGTTTAGGAAATTGTTGCTTTCCCTACATCTCATTCTCCGATTGGGATTTCTGAATTGTATTACAATCACAGGGAGCTCTGGTGGCTTAGTAGTAAAGAATTGTGCTGCCAACCCAAAAGTACGCAGTTCAAATCCA